TTACATTGATATATTGCTTCAATTTTGGTAAAACTTATCTATTTAGACATGGGTAGTTTTAAATAGTAATAATCATCCAAAAGGATCATCCACCTTGGTTATATTATTAAAGTATTTTCCAGATTATTTTAATATAGGATCATGTATATATACAACAAAAATTATTGCGAAATGGTGAAGTATTATGGTTTAAAGGTTCAGTGACAGTATTAATGATGACAAGTTTTCTATTGATGGTATAATAATAAATGGATATATATATACATATAAATTTAAATCTTATTATTTTATTATTTTATTAGAAATTTAGAAATATTTAATTTCTAATATTAATATTATTATATTAATAAAATAAATAAATAGGTCTTTTCTTCAATAATAGCAGCCTCATCATCAGATTCACTCAATTCAATTATAATTGAGAAATATTCTCCATTTAACTTTGGTTACATTTGGATGGGCTTCAATTGTGTTTCTTCAGCTACATATATTTTATTTATGAGAAAAAGAATCAAATCAACAAACTTCAAAGACTTTGACACTGTATATTATAATAACATGTTATCAACTCCATTATTGGTTTTCATGAGTTTAATAGTGGAAGATTGGTCCTATGCTAACTTAGAAAAAAACTTGTAAGAATATTTAATAAATTCATTTATCTATTATAATATAATATGCATGTATACATATATATTATATATTAACCCATTGACTATTATTGTTATTTTTATTGTTATTATAGTCCAATTGAAGTCCGAGGTATTTTAATATCATCAATGTTATTCTCAGGATTATCAGCTTTTGCAATTTCTTTTGCTTCTGCATGGTGTATTAGAGTCACCTCAAGTACCACTTACAGTATGGTTGGCGCATTAAACAAATTACCAATAGCTGCAAGTGGTATAATTTTCTTTGGTGATCCTACAACTTTTGGAAGTGTATCTGCTATTCTTATTGGTAAATAAACAAGGTTTAATCTTATTTCTTCTTCTCCTCTTAAAAGAATCATTTATTAAAATGGTTTTTATCAAAAAAATTAGGTTTTTTTTCTGGAATTTTATATTCAATAGCAAAAAATGAACAAAATATTGATAAATTAACTATTATCGACAATGACAATAATTTACATAAATCTTCTTCCTCAACATTAAAATCACATCATAACATAAATGAT